TTATTTGTTGAAACTGTACTTCCGATTTGATTTGAAACTGTCTCATTGCTATCTGTTTATCAATAAAACTTTGAAAAAAAAAAATCCCTAGGAATCTGTACTGAATTCTCAATATACCTTTCCCAATATATTAGACTGTTTCAAAGATTGATTTTTTAAACCAACATTTACAACATACTTTCCCAAAGAAAGGAGCTCTGCTTCACTGTGTTATATGCACAGAACCTGTGTATAGATGCCACTCATTCTCCGACTCATCCGTGTAGCCAACAATACTTACACAAGACCTCTTTCGCGCACGGTCTGTGAGTGAGCTAACCGAACCCTACCATGTCCACACCTTCATTTTTTTCATATGCTGTTCCCCACTGAGCGGTCAAGGCCGGCGGGCTGCGCGGCGGGCTCATGACAAGAACTACACAGGGAGACCCTCTCTTTCAAAAAACAGAAAAGAAAAATGGGGCGAGCATGTCAGTCAAACAACAGTTACCTCAAAACACTGTCCGCTCGTTCCTTCTCTCCTTCCTTCTTTCTTTGCTGTGCCAGGAATTAGATGCAGGGCTTGATGCTTGCCAGGCAGGCACCACACTTCTAAGCTACATCCCCAGCCCAAACCTCCACATTTAAAGCAGTAACACTTTCATGAAAGTCAGAAGTAAGTTTTTTTAACATTATGAAGCAAACTACTGGTATCTACAAGTGCTGAGAGCAGCTAAAGCTGGAAACTGGTCAGATGTGTGAGGGCAGGACTAGGCCTCAGTGCCTACAGCAGTCTTGAGAAAAGCACCTGGCCTTTGTGGGAGGCACACTAACTCCAGGCCGCCAAGCCTACTGCAAGTGGGTTTCCGGGTTCCTCCTCCCCCACCTCTGCTGAGCTAGGTTCCTAGTTCTTACTCCACCTATTTCCCATAAGTCTCCTGCTATGCCCCGGAGGTGTCAGCCCGGTTGCCTAGTTACTCGCGCCTTTTACCCGCTGACGTCATTTCCCTGCGCCTCCACTATATATACCCAGCCCCTCCCCTGAATAAACAGACTTGATCAGAATCCTGTCTTGTCTCCGTTTCTCACGTCTCCTGTCCATTGTCCCCTCCTCCATTCCCCGCTCCTCCCCCAGGTGACCTTCGTTGACTGACCCCCTGGCTCGGGACAAGTGGCGCCCAACGTGGGTACGGAGGATTCAGCGACGGAACCATCCGAGAGCCGGCAAGAGAGAAAGTAAAAGAGGCCCGCGCCAGCCGCAGTTGCCTGCTGCGACGTCTGAACCTCGGTAAGCGGACGGCACCCCTCCCCCTTCCCTTCAGCAATGGGACAGGCATTAAGTAAACATGAGATATTTGTAGAAAGTTTGAGTAAAGCTTTAAAGGCGCAAGGAGTAAAGGTTAAAATTAAGGATTTGTGTCAATATTTTGAATATATTGAGCAAGTTTGCCCATGGTTCCCTATTGAAGGAACTATTGATCAGAGGCGATAGAAAAGGGTTGGTGATGCCCTTAAGGATTATTATGAGACTTTTGGACCTAAAAACGTCCCAGTAATACAGGGAAGTAAAACTCCAGACCTGATCTGAATGAGTTCGTGTTCTCTAAAACCAAAGAATAAATTTTAGGAACAAACGGAGGTTGAGAGTAGAATATTTTATTGGGAAGGAAAGCTTCTGTTTCAGAAAGGACTAAAGGGGGACCCAAGCAGGTTGCCCAGGAAGCTGTCTTTTTCAGTTTATTTTTATAGAGCAAAACCATGCGGGGTTAAGGTAGAGAAAAAGGGGTCTCGCTTAGGTGGATGTGGGGTGGGACAAAACTATGGTCAACCAATGGGATTGCAAGCACCATTGCTCAGGTAAAGTTGATTACGCCCAGGGCCAAATGGGGAAGCGAGTCAGGACAGGGTCTCTTTGTTGGGGGCTGGGCTGGGGACTCACTTGGGTCTTTTTAGGTGATTGATACCTATTTAGAGTATCAATCCCAGGTGCTACTCTTTTAACATTTATTTGGCCTTTAGGTCTTTTAGGTCTGGCTCACAGCAGAAACATCCGTCCCTCCCACAGTTGCAAGATAACTTGTCTTTTGTGCTGTCTCCTTCAAGGGCCTTGCCCTGTCTGACTGCATATTAATATTTCTATCTAATTTGGCTACCTATCGTACCAGTTACAGCCTTTTCCTACTGGAATTTAATTGATGAAATCTTATCCCAGAGACACTGTGACCCGGTTGTTGTTAATGTGATAAAAAGGCGAAAATATACTACAGGGACAAAAAGGTAAAAATCATCTTAAAGGACAAAGAACCTCCTAAAGGTGTGTGCCCTCCTGTAAGGGAACAGAATCTTGAAATCAAAACCAGGAAGCCAGATTTATGTTGAAAATAAAGAGCAAGGAGCCCAGCAGGAGGATTTCAAATGTTGTGAGCTTGGCCAAAAAGAAAGCTGTAGAGTGCAAAGATGGAGCTGAGAGGATCTCCACTGCTGGGAAGGAACCTGAGAATGGAAGGGATGGCCTGAGGGCATCACAGGAGGAGGCAGGTCTCCACCCTTTACAGCCTCAGAACTGCAAAGGTCAGGGACTTTGCCTTGAGGGGAAAGCCGCAAGGCCCCCTGTTCCAGAATGGCAGCGGCGGTTGCCCACGGCTCCAAACACCACAGCCATTTTAGAAACTGTGGCTGACAATTGGCTTACTCCTGAGGACTGATTAGCCAGAGCCACCCTCTCGGGGGGGATTATCTCCTGTGGAATTCTTCCTGTACACAAGGAAGCATCCACAATGATAGCTTCACTGTTGATGATGGATTTGTTACCTTCACCAGCTGCAATCAAATATTTAACTACAGTAGTCCTATTTGCCCAAAAAAGGGACATGTGTTTGTCTGTGGGGGAAGTTTAGCCTTCACATATTTACCTACCAACTGGACAGGACTGTGTGTCATGGCAATTGTATTGCCCGATATAGATGTCATCTCTGGTAATGATCCCGTACCCCTTCCCAGTTTAGATTATGCTATGGGCCGCACAAAGAGGGCAGTCCAGTTCATCCCTTTATTAGTGGGGCTAGGAGTCACGGCGGCCATGGGGACAGACACAGCAGGGCTGGGAGTAGCAGTACATTCTTATACCAAATTATCTAATCAGCTGATTGATGATGTTCAAACACTGTCTGGTACTATCCAAGATATCCAAGACCAGATATTTTCATTGGCAGAAGTAGTCTTGCAAAATAGGAGGGTCTTAGACCTTCTAACAGCAGAGCAGGGAGGGATCTGCTTGGCTTTACAGGAACGCTGCTGCCTCTACACAAACAAGTCTGACTTCAAGAAGATCTTAAGAGGAGAAGAGAGCTATTTGAAAACCCTTTCTGGAGCGCATGGAATGGAGTACTACCTTACCTTCTCCCCTATTGGGACCCTTGATTGGACTATTAATACTTTTATCAATAGGACCCAGTCTTTTCAATAGGCTGATGACTTTTGTTAAACAACTGGATGCCATTAAAATGCAACCCATACAGGTCCATTATCACAGGCTTGAGATGGCTAAAAGGGAAAACTGCGCTGGAATACAACCAGCTTATGATGATGAAGGTCCAGAGACCTCTTAGTTCTCCCACCCTTGGTGAGATGGTCAGCTAGCCAGAGACAGGTAATGAGGGGCATACACGAGACACCACTCGCTGCCTGAGACAGGAACGGGACCTTCTGCCGTCCTAGTCTCCTATGACGGTAAGGTTTGAGTTGTGTCCCTGTAGAGGACGCCTTGACCTAAGACAGGCACTGCCCCCTCAAGGGAATCAGCCGTCTAAGAAGCCATATTTTATATACATCTATAAAAGTAAAGGGGGATCTGTGGGAGGCACACTAACTCCAGGCCTCCAATCCTATTGCAAGTGGCTTTCCGGGTTTCTCCCCTCCCTCTGCTGAGCTAGGTTCCTAGTTCTTACCTCGCCTATTTCCCATAAGTCTCCTGCTATGCCCCGGAGGTAGGACTTCCGGTCATAGCCCGGTTGCCTAGTTACGTCTTTTACCCGCCGACGTCATTTCCCTATGCCTCCACCATATATACCCAGCACCTCCCTCCCCTAAATAAAACAATAATTAATCAGAATCCTGTCTTGTCTCCGTTTTTTGCATCTCCTGTCCTTTGTCCCCTCCTCAATTCCCCGCTCCTCCCCCAGGTGACCTTCGTTGACTGACCCACTGGTTTGGGACAGGCATTAGTCAATAGGCAACCTTGTCTCTAATGGTACTAACTTTGCTGAAGTATAAATAAGCACCCTACTGTTGTTATATAGGTCATTCGCCCATCAGGCAAACAGGCCCCCACCTGCGCCAAGACGCAGCTCTTGGCTCTTGTCTATCTTTTCCTCATTCCTACCACAGTTTCTCCTTGGGGTACACTGAGAGACCAACAAGTCCCTACATAGAAGTCTATCCTTCTCCCCATGCACGCAGTGGTATACTGGCAAATGTCCAACAATCAGCTTGAAAAACAGACTATGTGTAATGTCTGCCAATCCTATGGTTTCAATAGTATCACCTGGGTTGACCGCAGCAACAGCCGTATCTAACAACTAGCTGGCTATATTCCTCCTAATAAAACCACCATGTTCCATGAGTCAGTCAAAGCCAACTCCAGCATACCACTACTGTGGTGGACTGCCAACTGGCGATCAACTTGCAACACTCAGCTAACTAAACTAGTGTGGTGCTGGGTGTGGGAGGCCCACCTGAGGGCTGCTGCCAGCAGCACAAGGGGCAGAACTGGAGAAGCTGTGAGGGATGCTGCTAAGGAAACTGTCTGGAGAAGCTGCTGGAAATGTTGAAAGCTAGTGGTTCTCTTGGACTATTCTGCTGGGGGACCTTGTCATGCTGGCTTTCCTAATGAACTTGGCTGTTCTCATCGGAGGAGTTCAGGACCTCACTGTCGCTAAGGATGGCTGCGGTTCATTTTGGAGGAGCTCTGGTCCTCTCCTTGAACATCACTTCTCTGGAGGGGAAAATGGTCTTGCTCAGTTTCCTGGGGAAACTTGTCCCATGAGCTCTCATGATAACTGTTTTTCTCCTCCTCAGAGGAGCTTGTTTCCTCACTGTCACTGAGGATGGCTGTGGTACCTGTTGGGGGAGCTCTGGTTCTTACTGGAGCACTGCTTCCTGGTGCCAGTCCAGATCCCTCAGCCCGCTGGCACAGAGCCCTCACCCTGCTGGCACAGACTTTCTAGATTCCACCACTGACCTTGGGCCTTCCCAGCAGAGATCAGTGACACAGGCCTGCATGAGACATTCTCTAGGCTCTAGGCCTCCAGCTGGACTTGGAGGGGGCACTGTTATAAGCTCTTGGTTCTAGCTGGACTCACACAGGATATAAGGATCCAGGCCCTCAGCTGGATTCTTTTGTCTTCAGTGTGTAGACAGATTTCCTGCACTCTTTGTATATGATTCTTTGGGCGACTATTATAAAAATCTTATTTATGTGTCCTATATTGTACTGTTCTCCTTGCAAAAACCCCAAGGTATAACAATTATACACACACACACACACACACACACACACACACTACAACCAGACAATGGTATAGAAACTATGTGTTGGTAAGGAAAATTGCTAAGTGAAAAAAGACAACTAATGTACTTATTATAATGGGCCTTAGGCAAGACCAGCACTCAAGAGGCTGAGGCAGGAAGACTGCTGTTAGATGCTAGCCTGGGCTACACAGTGAGTTCAAGGCAGGCCAGCCTGAACTACACAGGTCCCTGTCAGGAAAAAAAAAAATTAAACAAACAAATAAATAAATATATATATATACACACACATATATATACACACACACACACACAGTAACATATGATATATCATATATACATGTATCACATATATGGCTCATAAGTCTTCTTAATTTTTTAATATACACATACACTTATATTTGTACAGACTAAATATTGAAGATTACATACGATAACCTGAAAACACTATGCAACTGGAGTAGATGGGCAACTACACATCCTCTGGCAAACTGCTTGAACTGTTTTTAGCATGTATTATTTTACATAAAAATTGTCATTTTGGAGGTTTGAATTTTCACTTTTACAATATGTCTTAGCAATTAAAACAATACTCAGACTTGTTTTGTTCTGTTTTGCGGCCGGCTCAGCCCACGCTGCGGGCAGGGCTGGCATGGCATGTGGTGCCTGTGCACGTGCCTCAGCTTGCCTAAGCAGGTGCTTTAGGCTGCTGAGCTACCTCGCTGGCCCAATACCCAGTAGATTTAACAAGCCCACACCAATACTGGATCAGTACACCAAATAAACTGAGTCAGAAAAAGTCTGCATTTTTCCTCCTAAATTAATATAAACAACAAAATTGCCATGGTTCAACTTCAATACATGTACAAGCAATCCCATCACCCTCAACTGCTTTTTGTTTAAAAAAGATTTTGTGCCAAACAGAAAAAGCATGTTATGGGATCTTTGCAGCTGCCGGTGCGCCTTGTGCACTCACTCGCCAGCCCCCCGGCACTGTCTGGCACTCAGGGTCTCCCACGAAAAACACCAGGTCTGAATTAGTAGCTGAGAGAGAGGCAGCAATAGCATGCTGTGCAGCAGGCTGCAAAACATGTGGGTCACCCAGGTCACCACAGGAGGCTTCTTGCCTCAGTCTGCACCACGTCACACGCCAGCCGCTGGGAGCCACGGGCCTTCTGCACGCCAGCGAAGGAGCTTGCTTTCACCTCGGTGGAGACGGCCCTCTCATCCAGTGACTCCCTCCGCATTCTCGGTGTCAGAGACAGAGAAATAGTGCACAGCGAGATTAAGGTCCCCCTTCTGCTTTTCAGCCTCCGAGGCTCCGGCAAGTGGCATCAGAGTCCTACCGTGCAGCTGCCCAACAGAACTCAGGAAACCACACCCTGGAGGTGGAGACTCCTGCGCCAGGCAGTGCTGGGGCTGAGGATTTACGGCACCGGGAACAGCACGGGAACACCATGAAAGGCACCAGCATATTTTCTCTACATAACATACGTAACATATGGGCACTCACACTTAAAGCATTTTGTTTTGTTTTTTTTAATCATGACAAAACATGAAAAAGAGAAATGTAGAAGTAGAGAACCCAGATGGGAGAAAGGCTATCTGTTCTATCGTTCTTTTCCCTACCTTCCCAAGTGAGAAAATTCTCATTTTCCTCAGCAACACAAATCTGAACCCATTTGGTAAATGTTAAGACAAGCACTGGAGAAAAGAAGGAAAGAAAAATATGTATGTGGATGTACACAGGACAGCTTAGATACCTGTACTGCTGATTTCCACTGGTCTATGGAAAGGAAGAGTTAATCCTTAATTCTGTTTTCAGTTTTTTGACCAACTTTGCATGCTGACATCTGGTAAACTGAACAACAATTTGAAGACGACAATACGCAGTATAACAACTACTGTTGAATTCCTGTCATTTTGTTCAGTGAAATTCTGTATCATTTTTTATTTTTTATTTTACTATTTTTATTCTCAAAAAAAAAAAAAAAAAAAACAGACAAGCATTATCTCTGAAGAGACTATGGTATTACATGAGTTAACTATATTATTCCAAATTCCAGACTGCTCTAAGAAATACCAGACGGCCCCGGTGTAGTGCACACGCCTGTAATCTCAGCATGTGGGAGGCAGAGGCAGAAGGATGCCATGAGTTCCAGACCAGCCTGTGCTACACAGTGTATTCAAAACCAGCCTGACTTACACAGCAAGACCATGTCTCAAAAACCAAAAACAATTAAATTTTTTTAAAAAAGAAAATGGAAAGCCTAGACAATGTTTAATTACGCACAACACAAACCCACAAAACCACTAACCGCCATCGCGGGGAAGAGCTGGCCTGACCACACTTACCGTTCTCCACGTAGGGATGAAAGGGCAGGACCAGGGCCAGCACCACCCTGCCTCTTGTGGGCTCCAAGACGCTTCTGATGTCCTTCAACAGAGTCAGGGGCTGATCGCAGCGGTCCAGCAAATTCAAGCAACTGATGACATCATATTGAAACCCTGTATTCTGCCATTCATTGATACCAAGGACTCTGGAAAATATCAGAAGGAATGATACTAATATTTCTTCCCTTAAGGATGTCTTCAAAAGTCACTGACATGTCAACAAATGCTCTAACTTTGATTTCTAGGGAGGTTTTTCATTTTCTGTTTTCAGTGCTGAAGACTGAACCCAGGGCTTCCAGCTTGCTAGGCAGGCATTCTGTTGTGAAGCCAAATCCCCAGCCCCCTAACTTTGACTTCTAAATCAAAGTAAACTAAAAATCTCCTTTAATAATTTGTCTGTGCAGCAATTCAAAAGCCAGACAAGGGAAAAATAACAGATTCTCCATTTTCTACTTCATCTATATATAAATTGTTTTCTATTCATAAGGATCTTTCTACACTTAAGAATGGGCTGGTACAATTTCCATTTATACCTAGAACTTTTTAAGGGTATCTGTTCCCAGGAGATAAAAACTGTTCCATACTCTAGGAACTTCATATCAATATATGTAGAAAAACCTACAGCACAGGTCAACCTAGTAAAACTATGAAGAACATGGTTAAAAAAATATATAGCCACACAATTTTTCCCCATATAATTATATTGTTTTTATCTAGAAAGAAGACTATAATTTTCTAGATCAAGAGTCTTAGCTACACCATAAAACAATTTTATAAATCACTGTCTGGTTATACCAACCAAAATGTGGCAGGTGAGGTAAAAATGGACACATGAAAAGGGATCTTGGGTAAACATGTCTTTAATAATGCACAACAAATACAACAGCGGCATTTTAGAAAATCCTGAAAATGTGAGGGCTGTTTTGAAAAACTCATGAGCATGTGATACAACACTTCCGCATAATAAAACACAAGCCCATCAGTTGTGTCCTCTTCTCAATCTATATTTTATAAAATTAAAGCCTCTTCCAAGCAAGTCTAACGAACTTGGTGACACTCGTTAGGTGGTGCCCACATCAGAAATTCTATTTGTGTTTGGTTTGCCTTGGTTTTTGGTTTTTTGAGACAGGGTCTCACTAGACAGTGCAGGCTGGCCTTGAACTCACTGGCCTCAAACTCAGTGATCTTCCTGCCTAAACCTCCCAAGTGCTGGGATTAAGGCACAGACCACCACGCCTGGCCATAATAGG